GGTGTCGGTGCGTCGGGGGCGGCTTTGTTTGGGTTGATGGTGGGGGGTTTTGAGGGGGTTTTGAGGGGTGTCCGTGTGAGGCAGGGGGAAACGCGTGTGTGGAGTCAAGTGGCATTGCGGGGTGTGTAGAAAGCGGGGCGTCCGAGCCCAGGTAAGCCATACGCTCCATCCAACCCGGCAGGGTGAGGCGGGAATCTTCCCCGTCCCGCTCCCGCCCTGACATTGACCGTCTCCCCCGGTGTTAGGTCTGGAAAGCAAGGTCCGAGAATGGTGAAGCTGGGGAGTAATTTGAACGACAAGAACAGCAAACAACCATCCAACGAAGATGGTTTTCAGACAGTTCCTTTGATCACACCCTTGGAAGTAAATCACCTGCAGTTCCCGGCTCCGGAAAAGGTAAATCAGAATCGAACGGCTCTCCTGCATGATTCCACACACATACATGCCCCTCGGTTTTCACTGCCTTGGTGACTTACTGGTCTCTGATGAGATGCACCGTGGCGTTGTGTTTATTCCATAAATAAAAAGGGGTTCTCTTTCATAGTGTGTTTATCTGTTTTAACACAGCAAATAAACACGCAGCTGTCCCTCAACTCCTTCCCTCCTCAAAAAAGCCCCAAATATTCCTTCATAAATACAACTGGAAAAGGCTTAGTGTGTTTCTCTTGCAAGTGCTGGATAAACTGAGGAGCGATTCACAACGCATCATTGTTATTATCAGTAAGAATAATTGCCTGCAGTGAGAGTAATGTGGTAACTCTTCCGAAATAAGCAGCTATTTTAATTATCTCGGTTAAGGTTTGTTTTGTTCTCCGTGGCTTTGCAGAGCTGATTTGGGCATTGAGGATGCTGATTTCTTGGAAGAGAGCGGCTGAGTTCCCCCATGCACGGGGTGGGGATGGAGCAATCCAGGGGTTGGTGTCCCTCATTGGCTCCAGCCAGGGGACAGCTTTCTCCCCTGCCCATCAGCACTCCCAGAACCAAATGCAGCACTAAAATGTCCAGAAATGTGCATCGGCGATTGGCTGCGGTTTGGTGGTTGGGGTTTTTCGATGCAGTATGTACTAGAAAATCTTTTGTCTATATCGATGCAGTGACGATGCGTATCAATATAACCTGGTGAGGACATGACGAGACCATAAAAATCCATATGCCCCAACAGTCCTTGCAAAAACAAAGCCTGTCTGCAGTGTAGCTCCCAGATACCACAGAGATGGAGCCAACTCACCTGAAAGCACAGACAGAATGATTAGATCTCACAGGATAATGAAATAATAGTAAAATTAACACTGATGGTTATTGAACATATATCCTGTTTTTGCTGTAGTACAAAATGAATTTTCTCTAAATACATTAGGAGAACATGATGATGGATGTGCTAAAACTGCCTAGATAGACAAACTATGTTTATTTTATGATAGAGCTGAGTCAACTCTCTTGACATCCTGGGAACCAGAGCTGTGCCAGACAAAGGAGCTAGTTTCATTTGCCATGTGCCTCACAGCAATCAGGAGCAACTTCGCTGCATTCAGGAGAGTTACACTTCCATGAATTGTGAATGAGAGGCTAAACCAGCCCTTATCTATGACTCTGGTAAATAAGATTAAGAAAATAATTCAGGCAAAACAGTATGATTTATCATAAATGTCTGAAGAGCTCAGAGGAAACTATACATGTGTAAAAGTAGCTCATTTGATGCTAGTACAAATGGCTTATTGACATCATGCAGTGTCACACGATGTGAAATTTAAATGACTCATGTATCAGGTGAGACATGGATAACCTAACAAAAATCCTTTCAAGCTAATAAAGCGGTAATGAGTGTTCTCACGACCACCACGTTCCAATTGCCTGTTGGTGAACAAACACTGGAGTGTATTGGTCTGGTGTGATTCCTTGCTGATTTTTCTGTTTAAACATGCCTACATCAATAATTCACATGTTGTTAGGTTACATTACCTTCATTAGCATACATTACTGTCAGTGCATCTACTGACATCCATATTTTTCTATGCTGGAAGAGTGGGATGTATCTCCAGGAGTGCTAAGCGTGATTCAGAACTCATTAGAGTCAACGGTATTGATTTCTGCAGGCTGTGGCTCAGCTCCTGTGTGCAGTAGACCTGGAGTTAACAGCGAATGGAGATCCCTTCACAAGGAAGAGAGGCTGTTTATGATAAAAGCAAAATAATTCACTATCTGTTTCCTTTGCTGTTTGTAGAACAGATTCTGTTGGGGTGAGTTCACCCTAGGGCAGAGGGTCTGTTTAAAGACCTGCTAATAAGGAGTTGAGCCTTAGGTGAGACGCTTGGGCAAAGGTTAAGTGATGGGGGGAAATTTCAGCTTTGTACTTAGGAAAGCAAAGCTACTACTGAATTTGGTCAGACTGTGAGCCTGAGGAAGAGGAGATGGATTTCAAGCCTTTCAGAGTGTATTCTTGTTTGGACTTGCCTTGCAGTCAGGAGGCAGGGTTAAAAAAAACCCAACTAAAATTAATTTGACTGTTTTTCTACGTATTCCTAAAACCTGCCAGCAATTGATTTTTAGCTTGGGAGAGTGAAGACATAAGCCAAGGCACTTTCTGTGCCTCTTGCATGGGATGCCGTGTAAATGACCGGAGCCAAAGCAGGTTTGGTGTTGGGGTCTGCATGCAACAGCTCAGAAGGGCTTTGCTCGCCCGTTTTCTTTGATGCAAGCCCATCACTGCTCCCTGGTAACCACAAGGAGGCAATGCCCAGCTCCCTGCCCGTCCCCAGATGCTGCCACTCTCATCGCCTTTGCCACTGCATCAACGAGCTGGTGCGCCCTGGCATTTTCCTGCAAGTGAAATCTAGAACAAAAGGGGAAAAAAAATACCCTGCTAAATACTCCCTTTTCCGGGCTTCTCTTCACCATTAGAGGGTATCTTTGTTTAAGATGATGTTAGCTCTTAACCTGGATCTCACCTTGAGTCTGGGGCAATCCAGGGTGCGTCAAAATCAGAGCAAGGAGGTTTGACTGCAGCTTGGGGCTGTGTACTTGGCTCTTGTTTCGGTCTGTCTGACGAAGAAAAAGCAGGTATGGCTAGCGATCCAAGAGGATAATAGTTCTGTGCGGGGCAGCCCAACTGCTGTTACTACCAGTGTGCAATAATGCCTTCCCGTAGTGTACGTATATTGCACGGCAAAGGTTTGCAAGCTCTGTTAATCTATAGGCTTTTTCCAGTTGAGTCTTAGACTAAAAACCTGCATGCAAGTTGAAGAAAAACAAACCTGTTGTTTGTCAGTATACTTACCTTTGGAATGGTATGCCTATGGAATCTGCAGACTGGAAATTGTGTTTTAAGGGCTTTAAATGCATGATATTTTCTGCATTTTAAGGATATTTTTGTAACTGGATCACTTGAGAGTCGCTCAGAGTGACTTTCAGCATTAACCTCTGTAGGTGTTTCACCGTAGCTTCCTCTCTTTCAAAGAGTTTTCTGAGTCTGGCTTCCCTTTCAGAGAAAGGGTACAGAGAAAGAATACAAAAATGAGGCTTTTGCTCATGTGCTGTAATTCCTGAAGCCCATCTCTTTTCAGATAGTTCCTTGATTGTAAGAAATCATGTGGGGGGGTGATACACTTTCTTAAAGGTATGCCTAAATTTATTGCCTGTCCTCTTGGGGATGCTTTCCTAACAGGCTTGTTTTTTGAAGTGCTGTGAGCTTAGCAGCTCCCTCTGACTTCCACCTTGATGCTGTTGGAAAAATCCAGGCACGTATTCAGGAGGTTTGAATTTGGCAACCTTTTTTTAAAATTATTGGCCACTGGCATGACTATTTCCACCAAACAAGGCTGTCCCTTCCCAAGGTTCGTGCTATTCTTCCTGCAGCATCAGCATGCTCGTCGTTCTGCCAGCAGCTGTATGGCTGCAAGGGGAGAAATATACCCAGGACAGTAATTTCTCCCCTAGGGTGCTAAGCCTGCTGTGTGTTTATATTTATTGACTATCTTCAAGCATTTCCCTTGCCCCCTGTTCTCTTGCTGGGGTGGCATTTGCAGAAGGCAGAGACAGAGGCTCTTAAATAATTTTTGTGTGGCCTTTTTGCTGAAATCCATCTATGTAACAGGAATAATAGCCATCACCGGTGACAAGCCCCTGACCTAGCTATTTATGTCTCTGAATTTCATTTCTTCTTTTTTCAAAAAGCAAAAAAAAAAGGAGCCTTTTTTCTTTTAGGACCAAAGGGGAAAAGGCTAGCTGTTCACTTGTTTTCCTAGGCGTAGACAAAGTGCTTTGGCTGTAATTGTTATGTGTCTCTGCAATGATAATGCTAAAAGATATGCAGCTTTTCAGGGATCATACTGTTCTGCTGAAATTTTAAACGAGACCAACAACCGGGGACCCCTTGGTCTCGTAGGCTCACTTCGGTATAATCCAGCAGGAAATGCCTCTGTTCTGGCAGTAAAAATCCTAATTTTACATAACACAAAAGTGCATGAAAGCTATTGTCAGGGCTGAAAAAAACATCCGGCATCTCTTTTGTGGGGAAAGCTGCAGAAGGCTTATCATGTGGTCCATTGTTCTTTATTTTGAATGCATCTAGAGGCTTGAGGAATAATTTCTCTGGTGACAAATTCCTGCCATCTAACCTAAGATAAAAAAAGGTGTAACTGCTCTCTTCAAATGCTTTTCCCATCCCATGCTCCTGCCTCTTGCCCTCCCTGGCTGCATCCCTCTCCATGCGGTTACCCAGACTAATCAAGAGTTCCTGAAAATCCGGAGGGTCCCTTGTGCTCGCAGCCTGTCCCTATTGGTTTAACAGAAAATAATGTTTTGTCCTGGCCAGCTGAGCAGGCATAATTAATAGTACGCTGGATGAGTGCTTTTGTACCTAGGGGACTACTCACAGCTCTGCCCTGAACTACTGATGTCAGCCTGCCCTCTGCGAAGCCCAGCGGTGCGCGGCGGCTCGAGCCAGCCTGAAGGCCCGTGCTGTCAGGGCAGCGGGGAGATGGTTTCGGGGTGCTGCTCCTCGTGGTGGGGCCAGAGGCAGCTCAGCCTTCCCTGCTGCCGTCTGGGGAGGCTCCTGATGGGGGCAGCTGCCTGTGCTGCTGCTCACGCCGCTGGTGAGTTTGGCGGGATGGAGCAAATGGCAAAAGGAGAGATGGGGCAGGACTAGTAATTGTGGCAGTTGAAGGAAGGAAGAGTAAAAGGGAGGAGGAGGATGCAAAGGGAAAGAAAACGTGAATACAAGGAAGGGAATAAAGAGAGCATTGCAAATAGGAAGGAATGGGCAGGCTGTCTTGCCTTTCCCATCCTTTCCTTTCTTCACTTAGGGATATTCTGCCTAATCCCCACATGTACCAAAGTCTGAGCCTTCCTCTCATGTGACATTTGTCCCCCTTCTGCACTGTGCAAATCCATTTGTCCTC